TTTGAAAATTGTAAATTGTTATGAGTTATTGAATTTAAAGTTGGCAAATGTCAATGTTATTTCAGTTAATGTTAGGCTTACCTAGTTTAGAGACTAGGTGCCATCACGACTCCTTCGGAGGGATTTTTGGGTCGTGACAGGAAGCTTCTTCAGAGAAGGGCCCTATAGTAGCACACAAGAATTATAAGTAAACATGACAAAGCATCTGAATTTTTCATGTACACAGAAATGAGATTATGGTGGAAAGAAGAAATATGGAGAATATTGTAAAGAATAATAGAGGGATACAAAGCAAAAGAACCAGTGGAAGTTACTTTTACTTTATAACCATTTAGATTATATACAAGATAAGGTACATATAAAGGAGCTATATTGAATAAAAACTCTGTATTGGATGTTATGAGGTCAGCTGCACCAGAATCAATGATCCAGGTTAAATTTACTGAATGAGAAAGCATGCAAGAATTAGAACTAGTACTACTCAACAAATCAGCAGCTAAAGATGTACCAGCAAAATTGGCAGAAGCTATGAGATTGGATTGAGGAGTGGGGTCTGACACATAAGACTATTGCAGCAAATTCACCAATTGATTGTGCTGCTGTTTTGTCAGACCAGGTATCATGGAGGCATGCTCAGAATTAGATAGAGGACCAAAAGTATGAAGAGCAGTAGTATTTGGCTGAGCACCACCACTAGGATTGTATTCAGAAAGATCAGCCTCAACACTAGCATTTGCTGCAATTCTTCTACCTTTAGTAAATTTGAGGTTAGAAGGATAACCATGGAGTTTATAACATTTTTCGATTAGGCGTACATGCTTCATGCAGTATTTGCAGAATAAGGAAGCTTTGACCTGATCACCATTTACCCTCTATTCAAAGTTCATCCTCTAATTATATGGCTTTTGAGGAAGAAGACTTATGTTAAACAAGTTGGTATTGAAAGAAGTTGTATTGGCATTGAAAGAAGCTGAATCTAAGTTAAATTGGGGGAAAGATTTGACTTGTCTTTGACTCTCATCTTGGAGAAAAATGTTGTAAGCATTATCAAGTGATAGAGGAGGCTGCATCATTAGGAGATTGCTTCTAACATTTACATAGGTTTCATTTAATCTCATTAAGAATTGGTATAATTTATTTTCTTCAACTTCCTGTTGCAAATCAGGTTTAGCTGCACAAGTGCAAGTGTTCACATAATTCTTACACATGAAACCCAATCCATATCATAACCACTTTAACTTGTTAAAGTAAGAGGCTATGTCAAGAGATCTTTGATAAGTTGCAGCCAGTTCTTTCTTAATCTCAAATACCTTTGTCCTAATCACATCCCCATACCTACTCTCAAGTTGCTTCCAAATACTTTCAGCAGTCTCAGAGTATTGAACACTCTCCGCAATTTCAGGGGACAAAGAACTTGTCAGCTAAGATATCACCATATTATTATACTTATTCCACTGGTTTAATTCAGGTGCATTATCATAAGCTTTTGGATATGTTCCATCTATGAAGGCTATCTTATTCTTTGCAGATAAAGCCAATATCATACTCTTCTCCAACCCTCCAACACAGTCACAGAAAAAGGCACATGCACCAAAGAAGTGCTAGGAACATCAGAGGAATGTAAAAACAGAGGACCAGAGGGATCTGGAGCATACACGGAGATAGAAGTAGCATTACTTCTCATGATCACTCAATTTAGTCCAGTACAATACTCAAAATACACATGTAGTAAGCAAGCAAAAATAGATACGGAGATGCACACCTCCACAACCACGAAACAAATATATGCTATTATATATAGAGAATTAGAAATAGAAATACCACTCTTCTTCGTCACTGGAAGAAGTAACAGTCTTTAATTCTAGAAACTCCTTCCAAAATAATCTGCAATCACCAACAATCGAAAATGGGATCGATGCAAACCCTAGTTTCGAGCCTCAATGGGAAATTAAAATACTCGAGCGTAAAATTACATAGCTTCACGAAATCACCGGAAAACCTCACCAGTACTCAAAAACTTGTTGTAAACTGAATCAGAACTAGTGAACCAACTAAGAGATGAGAAAAAAACTTTCAAAAACCCATCTAGGGTAATATCAGACGGAAGAGTAGCACGAGATCTATTCGAATCTCTGCTCTGATACCATGATAACATTTGCAAAATAGAGAAATTGCCATTAAAATTTACTCTAGGGTTAGAGAAGAGTCGAGAGAAAAACAATGGCTCAAATCTTTTCTCATTACTCAATACTCACTTATGTCCAACACTATACAAAGAAAACAATATATACAATGGGCCTAACTGTACCCGGATCTGACTTAACAAACTCCAGTCCACTAAGACAAAAAAATATAATACATTAAGTTACTGCTATTGGACTTATATCAAGTTTGGGCATGTTTCTGTCGTGGGCGAAAAGCTAAATATCCTTCAAGTCCAACAAGAGAATAATCTTAATAGTTGGTATGAATCGTACTTTATTTTATTCTTATGTACTCCCTTTGTCCCACTTTATGTGATAAAGCTTGGACTTCGAGAATTAAACTTATTAATTTTGACCGTAAATTCTGATATAAAATCTTTAACTTTTTAGAAATAAAATTTATATATTTAAAAACTATATAAAAAGTACTATAAGTCACAATAATTAACAATTCAAAATACCTAAAAGGCAAATGAAAAGATCACGGTCAAAATTTGACTCTTGAAATTCGAACTCCGCCGCATAAATTGGGACGGAAGGAATATTAATTCATTTACGTGCAAAAGATATTAACAAGTCAATTTTCATTAAAAAAAAAAAAAAGATAGACACTGGCTCGCAGAAATGACATTTAAAATATATAGGTAGTTTAGACAAACTATCTTCTTCTACTGGTATGAAATTAGGCTCTGTTGAAGCTTAACTTCGCACTAAAAAGCCTAAAAATTTAAAAGTTAATCAATTCAGACCTTGAGGTTTGAAGTTGGATTTTGTCAAACCCTAACTTCAAATCTTCAGTCAAACATTAGACATGAGGTCAGACGTTGGATTCTGGAAGAGTCTAACTTCACACCGTAGGTCTGATCAGTTCGATAAATTTTAAATTTTTAATAATTTCAACTTTAAGTTCATTTTAAGGCGGCTAAACTTTAAAATTTATAAATATAGATTATTCTTTAAATAGGAATCTTAAAAACTACTATCTATGACATGAAGGATAGGTGGGGGGCATTTTGAAAAATCGGGCCGATTTACTCAAGCGACGGTACAGAGGAAGAACGAAACAAAATGAGGAGATATGATCCAGAAAAAGAAGCCGCAAATCTTTGATGAAAATATGACCTTCAATTTCCTGTGTCCAAAATCTCCGAGTGATTGATTCTTACTAATAGATAATAGGATACAATTTGGTATAGTCGAATAAAAGCTTGTTGGGAGAATTTATCGATGTGAAAGTGGAGGATATATATTATTTATTGGTAAATATCTAAGAGTACAAACTGAATTCTTCCACTTAAAAATTAAAATTCTGAACATTGAAAACCTTTTATAAATTTTGAAATTTTTAATGTTTAAGCTATATAGAAGATACAATAATATGCAAGTTTTTCATATTCGTAAAATTTGTAACTTCAACAAAAGTTTGTTAAGAATTTAATTTGTAACGTCCAAAATAAGACGGAGTAAAAATGAACGTGTATATTTTCCTTGAGTAAGAACTTGTTTCAAATCCTACTATTATTCAACGTCAACCACCTGAAACCTATTTCCAATGCTTCAGAATTTTAAGTTTTTATTGGCTTAATATTGAGCTTTTATTTACTAAAGATAACATGTCTTCCTAGATCTTCTTAATTTATTGATTATTGAATTAAGTGATTAAAGTACTTATCGTGATTCCAAATCCATGATTAATTTAGAATAAAACAAAACTTGCCGCCTTAATCATCCAACCAAAATGGAAAGGTGTCAAGCTACAACGTCCCAACCTCTTGTTTTAACAGCCAACAAAGCCTGCTTTCTCCTTGCCTTAAAAGGTCAGATTACAGGATAATATATTTTAATTTAGCTGCTCAGTCTGAATCTATTACTATTAATTTAATAATTAGAGAACGCATCTCCCTCCACGATACCCAAATTTACTAAAATAACACTATCCATTTGGACCAAAGAAGAAAAATTAAGATGCTAAAGGGGATATATTTGTCTTTACAATTGATTGGTAGTCAAATGAAGGGGACCGTAAATCTTTTTAATTTCATGGTAGAGTTAAAATATTAAGACAATGATTAGGAAAGAAGTGTGGTTTTAGGGTTTGAGATATTTACTAATTTTCCATTAGCACCTAATGGGACAAAGTGTACATATCCCTTTCAAATTAGAAATTAATTAATTGCTAATAAATAAATAAATAAATAAAGAAGACAGATTTGCAGGCAACAAATTTGCTTCAACAATTTTTAATGAAATTGAATTCTTCTTCTACCCAAAAAGTTCCATTTTGGGACACCCAAGTATGGGCTATATGAAGCAACAATTAAAAGTGTTAACATGTGTCACCATCCAATGTTTCTAAAGGTATCCTCATAATTTCAAGAATCATATACTCCATTATTTTCATTAAAATTTCACAACTAAATAGCAAATAGAACGTCCTAATAAGCAAAAGATAAAACAAAAAACGTAAGTGAAAATTATCCTAAAGCAACGGAAAAATTATTTTTCCGTGACCTGTAGGTTACGAGTTCGTTATACTTTGACCACCGAACACGATAACTTTCGGAAAACAAAAAGCAAATATTTTAATTGTGATGGAATGAATCAAGAGGTTTTAGGTTCGAGCTCAGAAAATAAAATAAAAAATTTTGAGGAGCGATTTTTCCTTTAATGCATCATAATTATGCCGCAAAAATATAAATTAATTGTGCCACTAAATATCGAATTGTAAATGACTAAACCAAAAAAACTTACTAATGGAAAAAAGGGAGCTCAAATTAATCAAAGGATGAAAGAAGCTGAGCAAATAGATAGAACATCTTAATCCTTATTATTTCCTCTTCTTGGTTTCATTTCCTTGAACATTTAACAACTGCTAGTGATAACAATAAACAAAACAAAATAAACCATATTTAATTTCTGTTACACAAATTACTAATAAATCAAGATGAAGAAGAAGACCCATTAGTAGAAATATGAAGATGAAGTCCACAATTATTACTATCATTGTTGTTGTTGTGATCTTCATTGCTGCTGCTGTCGTTGATGTTGAACCCATTAGTGTTATTGTGATCATCTTTTTTAGCAAAAGTGTTCTTGTTATTGTGCATCCAAACTCTAAGAACTCCTTTACCAACTCCAACTTCATTGCAAAATTCTTCTACCTTAGCTTCATCACACTTTTGCAATTTCCACCCTAATTTTTCTGAAAAAGAATGCATTTTTTCTTTTTGTTCTTGTGTGAATTTTGTTCTAAATCGCTTTCTCCCACTTGGGTTGTATTCTGCTTTTGGGGTAATAGGCTGTGGTTGTAGCGGTGGCGGTGGAGATGAGGAGGGAGAAGGGGAGAACCGCCGGATTGGTGGAAGAATATGGTGGCGGAAGTTAATAAAGTGCGAGGGAAAATGGGTGGGTGATGAATTATCCTCCGCCGGTTCACGGCGGTGGAAGTTGCGGTGGCAGCCACACGCGGCGCATTTGAGGGAGGTGGGATTTGAAGGGATGGAATCAGGCGATGGCATAAACTCACCGCAACCGTCCACGGCGTGTCCGCCTATACTTGCTGCATGGTTCTTCAAACATTCTTTGTAAGTCACCGCCGCACACGGAGGCTGTTGGTGGTGGAAGTGGTGGTTCTTGAGTGTGCCGTTGCTGAAAGACAAAGGCTTAATTAGTGGTGGGGTATCATTTTCTGAATCAAGAGTACTTTTGGTGGGGTTGCTGCTGCAAGTTAATTCCATTGGATGGTTTATTTGCAATTGAAAACAAAAATATCTTAGTTCTTGAGGTTTAAAGATGTTTCATTTGATTTCTTGAAACAAATGACAATAGATAAAGGGGAAAAAATGGTCACTACTGCACAATTAATGGCTATGTTGATAAGGAATGCATAATTTTGAAGGTTTATGCAAATGGGGTTTGGCTATTTTGTTCGGTTGAGTTTCTCTTTTAGTGGAGGTTTGTTTGATGATGACAAAGAATTTAAGAGCTTAAGACAAAAAGGTCATTGGCAAAAATGATCAAGTACCACAATGTTATAGAGATGAAGGGCAAGTAGTATATATATTGGAGTATAGGGGTTTAAAAATTAGGATAGAAGGTTTCCTCATATCTTATATTGTTGTTGTCACGGTTTATTACTCCGCCCATTTATATTAAGTGATTTTTTTATTTTTATCTGTCAAAATAAATATTTTTCTACATAATCAAAAAAGAATTAGTTTTAATTTTGTTTTTCAAAGTTTATTTTTATTTCTATATTTCAATGTGTCAAGGTAATAATATATGAATTTTAATTAGGGGCGTTCATGGTTCGGTTTGAATTGATTTTTCCCTAAAAAGAAACCAAACCAAGTAAGTCGGTTTTTCAAATATTAGAATCAAACCAAACCAATTAAGTCGATTTTTTCTCGATTTGATTTATGTCGGGTTTTGTCGGTTTTTTTCGATTATTTGTCGATTTTTTCTTAAATATAAGACATACACTAACAAACACATATTTCGGAGACCACATTTTCAACATAACACTATCAAATCAATTGCCCTTTGAGAAATCTATTATTTACCAAGATATATTGATGATAATTGAATCAAATAGTGATGAATAATTTAAGGACTCAATTAAAAATATATTATTTTTAATACGAAATAGATTCTTACACTTAACAGAAGAAAACTACCAATCAAACTAGAATGTAAAGATAAAGAACTATATAAAAGTGCAAACTATTAACATTTACCATTAAATTTTTGAAACTTTGTATAAAAATAAACATATATATAGATGTAATAATAAATTTAAAATAACTACTTCTATAGACAGTTTGGTTCGGTTTTTTTTCTAATTAAAACCAAAACCAAACCAAATTTGATCGGTTTTTTAAAATTCAAAACCAAAACCAAACCAAACCAAAAAGTATCGGTTTTTTTGGTCGGTTTGGTTTGGTTTTCGATTTGGTTCGGTTTTCGGTTTTTTATGAACACCTCTAATTTTAATTAAGAATAATTTAGCCAATTATATCTTTTTACTTTCTCCAAGAATTAGTATTTTCTTAAGGAGTGTGCCAAAAGCCAAAAAGTTAATTATTGTGAACCGGAAGGAGTATTACTGTTAACTTTTTCATTTTTACTTGTGCCAAAGGTATATCGCATATACTTTTCTATCCGTATAATGTAAAAGTAAGGTTTATGTACACGTTATCCTTACCAAATTTTATTTGTAAGATTATATTGGATTTTTTATTGTTGTTTTAGAGGTTTAAAAATTAATGAAAACTTAGAAAGGGGGGGAGATAAGGATGTGATAATTACATGCAGACACCAAATTAAAGGCGTAGGTTAGATGCGTGTGAAAATTAATTAATGAGGGGGTCTGATAAGTAGTTGATTTTTCTGAAGTGCTAATTAATCGAAAGCTGTAGGGAGAGAAATGTTCAAAATTCAAGGTAATCAGCTTTGATGATCATCATGAGAATCTCTGTCATGGTTGTTACACGTGTCTCATGCACCAGGAAATTAGATTAAATGACCACCACCTCTGGTTGAGGTATAGTTGAGTTTTCTTTTTTCTTTTTAATTTTTTTTATGATTAAAAATTAGAAGATTAGAAGGTAGGAATCGAACCACGGTTCGATCAAGGTTAAAATTTAGCTACCTACTTTATATGATTATGAAGATTTTCAGGTATAACAGAATTTGTGTAAAAAATTATTCCGCACGGTATTATACTAAATCATTTTATAATTTAATTATTTTTCATGGTTAATATAAATTGAATATTGTTGTGAATAATTAATTATGATTTATTAAAAACATTATATTATATAAAAATATGTCCTAAATTTTTATTGAATTGATATAAATTTCGAGCGTGAATACGTTTTTACCTAGAGTTCGTTAGGGTTTTTGTATTGTTTCTACTTGATCCAATTTCCCCCCTCCTTTTATGCAAATTATAAACCAGGGGNATATATATATATATATGGTTGTGCTAATGTAATATTAAATTGAAATCGTTTTAGGAATCCATAAACAGTTCAACTGTTACCTCTCTATTTTCAAAAGCCCTGCTCACTAATAGCCCTATAACCAATCAGGCAGGCGAGACCGCCTATAGCAAACCCAATAGTTGGATTGAAGGCTTGCTCATTTGGTGAGTGATGATAGGCTATAATTACATATTTTAGTCGCTTATTATTACACTCAAATTTATTGTACTTTAATTGAGTTTGAGCTTTAATCGCTAGTGTCTTGCACTAATTGTGTGTTTTATGCCTTGTAGGAGTGATTCCGAGCTATGTAGATGTTATGGAATGAATTCAAGTGATTTGAGCTTTGAAGTCTGAGTAAAAGCTCAAGGAATTAAGCCGGGATCGTGTTCGGGGGTCAACGGATGATAGTTAGAACAAACAAAGAATCAAGTAGGCATATTACGCACTATCTAGTAAAATGCACATAACGTTTTGCTCAGAACTCTATTTGGGCTACACAATATATGGTTGGAAAGCTAAATCAAAGGGCTACAATTTTTATGTTTTACGTTTTTCCAAATTCCAAACGGAATAGGGTGAAACATGCGCGTCAATAGCGCGGCCGCGCTAGTCAGGCAGAATCAAAGTGGATATGTGCGGTCCAAGCGCAGCCGCGCACGTCCTGTACGAAAAATGTGTCCTTTTTCGCGTAGGAGAAGGTGTAATTGTTTGGGCCCAATCCTACTTGGTATATATACATGGAAAAACGGTATTTTGAGGACCTTTGACATACTTTTGACACAATTTAGACCTAAAGTTGGACAGATTTGAGACACAGATTCGACCTAAGGAGGCAAAGACACAATAGGACCAAGGCGGGGAATTCTTCTACGAGTTTTTCCTTCCTCTTCTTTTCATTATTGGTTATGACTTTTAGTATTGTAATTTTGCATACTATTATGAATAACTAATTTGTTATCTAGGGTTTTGATGGAACCTTTTGTAGGATAAATTCTTTTTATGTTTTTATATAATTGAGCTGGAGTATTTTCTCTATTTGTTCAACTATATTATTTTTGTAGTTGATTGAAGGTCCCTCAATTAGTTGTGCCTATTTAGTATGTATTACTCAGGAGAGAGTGCATATTTAAGTAGTTGTTGAACAACATCACTTCCGACGTATGTGAGAAATCAATGACTAAGGGTTTAAAGGTGGGATTAGGGATAACGAACCCTTGGGTGCGATCTAAGTGAGTTGTAATTAAAGCCAGCTAGCGTAACTCAAGAGAGTATGTCTAGTAAATTGTCGTAATTACTCGGGAGAGAATTACAACACGCAGAGCGCTCATAATCGGTAGAGAATACTTAGGCAAAATTATAGAAGACATAGCGGGAAGGATTCCGACAATTGGGGAAATCATAACTCTATACCTCCTTAATATTTTATCCAACCTGTAGTATCTTTAGTGTTAATTTATTATTTTAATTTGTCAGTTAGTTAGTTAAACACAACAATCTTAATATCTATAAGTTAGGAATTGTTCAAGCTTGTATTCTTGGTGATAGTGAACAAATATAGCTAAGCTTTAGTTCCTCTGGGGGATTCAACTCCGGACTTGTAAACCGCATTATATTTGCAACGATTGCTTTGTCCTTTTTATAAGGCATAGTTGGGCGTAATCAAATTTTAGCGTCGTTGTCGAGGAACTAACGGTGTAGCTGTAGGTATACATATTTCTAGGTTGCAAGTTTGAACTGTTATTTTTGTTTTCTTGTATTTGATTATTTATTTATTTTATTTTTGATCTGGGAGACATGGCATCTTGGAATTATGAGAGTTTTGATGTTGGTAATTCTACTTTTGATCCTTGTTATGCATATTGTGGAGGAAACCACCCAAGGAAAAATTATCAAAATATTCTTGAGAGCGAGTTTTGTGCACCAACTCAATCTTATATGTGGAATGTGTGTGATATGTATAGTGGTCAAGATGGTCACCTTCATAGTTGTGCTTATAGTTCTTATCTTCCCCCAACCCCTTACTTTGATGGTTCTTCTTTTTCTTATGAAGTTAATAGGAACAAAGAACCCAGGGATGATGACCGAAAAGTGATCAAAGATATGTTAAAGTATTGCATGGAACTATATGATAAGAGACCACGGCAGATACAAAGGCAAATGACAACTATTCACAACTTGGAGGCTCAAGCGAATAATTAACTAAAACTTGTAAAGCGCAACAAGTTGACATTGTGGATAGTAGCCAATATGAGTATGAATTGGCTGCAGAAATTGTCATTATACTGAAGGATTTAAAAAAATACAAGGATGAGCTAAAGGAGAAGGCCAGAGTAGAACACCAACAATTAATCGAACTAGATTTTGAGGATGTCGATGTCGTAGAAGAGATGCTAGAGTCAACCAAGAATACTGAGGATACATATTTAGTTGACTCTAATGTCATTAGTGTTAAGGATGTTGACAATCCCAATGTTTGTGCAGTTGAGCACATTGGTCCACACAAGCGTTTTTCCACATTGTGTATAGATGATGATATGAAAACAGAGTCGTCCGAGCCACTTGAGGATTCAAGGAGTAAGGAACAAGATGCCAACATTCTAGAATTCTTCGTGCCAGAAAGTCGGGAATACACATCTCATCTAAAGGTCAAGAAGTGCAGAATACTACATTATTTTATTGGGTTAATCGGATTCGTTATACCACCCCAGGAGCATGATCACAGAGCAGAATCAAAATTTGGGGTCCAATTTATAAGTTTGAAGTGGAGGTAGAAAGTGATTCACGTCGTGCCACGACGTTAAATCAAGCGTTTGTCGGGAGACAACCCAACTTTACTACTTTCTTTTATTTTTTATTATTTTTTTATTATATTATTTTTGTAGTGTCGATTTTTGATTTTCTAGGAGCATGGAAAGCAAAGCTATTGGAAGGATGCAACAACAAACCAGATGGTTGGAACAAAGCGTGAGGTACCCGCACGAAGAACCAGGCATGGGAGAAGTCTGAGTACCCCATGAGATGCTAGTGCTTCGGCCTTTGACCTACCAGGGAGTTTCTTTTACCCTCTTGTATGTATGGGTGTGCATT